TTTATAAGAGCAGACCGTCTCAGATGAGCAGGTCATGTGGCCAGAATGAGAGACGATATGATCCCAAAGAAGATGTTGGTTGAAATCCTGCATGGAGCGCGACGAGTAGGAAGACGAAAGTTAAGATGGAGGGACAGCGTGTACAAAGATGCCAGGAAGCTAGGAGTTCGAGGCTGGATGGTGGCGGCACAAAGTAGTGACACCTGGTGGATGCTGTTGGCGGAGGCCATGACTCGCTAAGCGGGTTGTAGAGCCCGTATAGATAGATAGATACAACTATAATAATATTAATAGATATAATATAGGATGTAATAATATCAGGAATAACAATATTATAAAATATAATATAAATGTAATATAACTGTAACATATAATGTAGTAATAGTAAACTAGTAAATTATACTTATAGTAATTTTGGCATTGAATAATAATATTTTATCATTTTCTATGAATTTATTAAATCATTTCTTTATTCAGAGTCTGTTTGTGGATCGTGGATGGATTGTTGTGGATTCGTTAGAATGTAAACTTATATCGAAACAAATGTCTGTTTGATTTAATGTAATAATCTCTATTATATAAGAATATATTATCTCTATTATATGTTCATTAATGTCTGGACTGATTTTGCTTTGCCTTTTTACATTTTTTCTCCATAAAGCGAGCTTTGGGTCAGGTGTCAGAAGAAGTATTGCCATAATATCTTTCTCACACAAAGCCTCAAACTCTTTCTTAGGTCTGCCTCCGGTAGTAAGTAAGCCGGATAGATCATCAGGGCATGAATTGCCCTTTTCTTGATAATAATTGATAACAATTTCTTCTAAATTGATATCTTGTTCCAACCAGTCTTTATATAAGGTTAAGAATGTTTTTTTCTGTTCGGTGAACACGCTCCCACATTTTTGACATTTTAAATGACAATAAACTGTCACTCTTTCTAATATTGCTCCATATTTCTTTAGAAGCATCGTGCAAATCAAACTGACTCAATATTTGCTCAAAGATTGATTCCGTTCTCTTGGATTTATCAAACATTTTTCCAAAGTTGTAAGAAAAATAAATTGTATTATGTGATGGATCTGAAAATAAAAATAAAAATACTTGAGGTAAACTTTATGCTCTAAAAAACTTGGAAAGATGTTTTGGGAAGTTTTTTTGCTGTGGTACATCAAAATTGTGAACTTAAAAAAAAAATAAAAGATCAATGATGAATAATACAGGATAAATAACAAGAGAGTACTTACCCATAATAAATTATATCAGATAAAAAAGGAATAGTTTTGACGTTTTTTCCTTCGGTTCACTTAATAAAAACACTGTTCTATCACCAACGAGAGAGATTTAAACTGATTGTTGATATGAAACAGACTTTGCCTTGTTAACAATACTGCTAATGTGTTTGCTGATCAAAATAAAACAATATTTATGGGTTTTGTGCGATTCTAATTCCTTGAATAGTTTCTCAATTCAAGAGGATTTAAAGTTTAGTATAAGAAAATAAAACTTCAGGCTTTTGTCCATTGAACGTTGCACTGTGCAACTGCCCGATTTGAACGATTTTTTAAGAAAATTGAGTGATTTTTCAAAAAACATCCAAAGTGTATCCTTTCTTATTTACCCAGAAATATAATTTTACCACCCCTCGTAACTTTTTCTCAACTTCTTTTCATTGAAGTATGTTATATAAATAAATTATATATAAGTTTATATATATATTATAGTTTATATATATATATATATATATATATATATATATATAATATAATTAGTATAATTAGTATTTGCCTATTTTTCAACGTAATCTCTATGATTTTTGATTGAATAAATTTCACGTGTACATTAGAGCAGTTGATATTTGCTGTTTGATATATTTTTTAATTTTTTTTTCTTATTTCTTTCATTCTTCTCTGATGGTATCTTTTATAGTCATCAAGTGATGTCCGTTAAAGTGCCCAAGAGGACTCGGTCAGACAGCGAAAATTCCAAATTAATGGACACACAAATCAATGTTATTATTTAACCACTAACTATACTGTGTGGTAAGAAAATGTAGTTTTTTATTTTATATTTCATAAAATGCTAGTTATCTATTTACATATTGTATATGATATAGTTATCTAAATCATTGAATGATAAGCAGCATCTAAAAAAAATGAGTGTATACCCACGTAATCATGCCGGTAATGTGTCAGTTTATGTACACTAGGTTATATAAAATAACCAATAAAGAAACAATAGAGATGACGTTTGTATTAACAAAAGGAGGCAGTGGATCAGCTGATGCGAAGGTTGTGTTTTCAACTCGTCTCTCTGTGTTTGCCAAATTTTTCAGCGGAATCTCTCTGATTATTCACGTAATACAGTTCAAGTGTACATCAGACCAGTTGATATTTACTGTTGACATCTTTTTTTTATTTTTAATTTTTTCATTAATTTTCTATATGATATGCAGTATGATCAGCAAGTGATGGCCAGTAAGGTGCCCAAGAGGACTCAGTCAGACGGCGTTAGTACACCTCGTGGTTCACAAGCCAAACAAAGAACTCGTCACTGCCTACGAGAAACATCTCCTACAACAAAAGTGAACACTTCAGAATCAGAACCTCAGCCCCAACCTGGAACTTCTTCGCAAGAAATGATCGAAAAATCCCCTTTTTTTACTCCAAACCCCTACAAAGTGCTTCAAAATGACCGAGAGGTAGTGAAGTCTGCAGCTATACCCAGAGAACGAAGGCCTCCTCCGATATTTGTAAAAAATATCAAAAACTTTCAGTTGTTCTGCATCCAACTAAATAAAATCTGCTCAGGCAGTTATTCATGCCTTAAAAAGACCAACGATACAAAATACTGCTGAAACCTTCCGAAAAATAGTGAAGTACCTATCAGAAACGAATGCGAGTTTTCATACGTAGCCGCTTAGGCAGGAGGGATCGTTACGAGTAGTAATAAGAAATTTGCCCTCGTCAATCCCGACTGAAGTGACCAAAGAAGAACTAACGACGCTTGGTTTCAATGTACGTCAGGTAACCAACGTCTTAAAGGAGAACAAGGAGCGGTCGGGTTAAAAAATAAAATCCCTCTACCATTGTTTTTCGTATATTTGGAGCCATCACCAGATATCGAAAAAATATACCATATCAAAAGATCATATTACGCAATTGTGAAGGTAGAGGAACCATACCCCAAGAGAGAAATCGAGCAATGCCATAGTTGTCAGTCGTACGGCCACACGAAGACTTATTGTCACCATCTGCCGCGTTGCGTGAAATGTGGTGAACAACACAAACCTGGAGGGACACCCGGCCAACTACAAAAGCTGCCAAATTTACAATAATCTCAAATAAAGACAACAGAAAACCCGTAGTTAGGATGAAGCAGTAAGACCGAGAAGAGAGAGCGAGAGACTTCAACAATAGTGAACAATATTGTATCATTTTCCCAGCTACTTAGAGGTGAGAATTCACCCAATAAATTTCAAGCCCTGGCGCAACAACCTGAATCCCAATCTCAAAATCCTATTGACCCTAATATTCATAACCATCAACAACAAATTCATCATATCCCTCCTCCTTCGAATGAAACAGATCTCACCAATTGATTAGCATCTTTACTCACCGATTTAAAATCTTTTTACTCCAACAAACATAGTTACTACACTCAAATCACTCCTCACAAACCTCGTATCTCACCTTATCCCTCCTTTAAAAAATCCTTGATGACACCCATATCCATTCTCCTTTGGAATGCGAATGGTGTTAGGAATCACGTTGACTCTAACTAACAGCTTTACTCCTGGACAAGAACAGCGACGTAGCACTAATCACGGAAACTCGGCTGACCAGAAAACAGCTTTTAAAAATACCTCAATACATAAAATACCGTCATGACCATACTGACGCAGAGCACATGCTGGTACTGCTGTCATTGTACACCAATCCCTTTCTCATCTCCAGCTCCCATTGCTGACTCAAGATTTCCTCTAATCCACCGGCATAGTAATCAAAACCTTCTCCTTTTGTTACCATAGCATCAGCATTGAATTATTAGATATTGACCTCCTAACAAATTTATATCCAATATATGGGTTCTCCACTCAAGCCATGTATGTGTGATTACAACGCCTCTGTTCAGTCTCTATTGGTCCTTTATACCAGTAATGTGGCTGAGTGAGAGGTGCTGGGATCTCTTTGAGTCCTGCATTTCCTTCCACAAGTGGGAAGAAAGACTTAGCTCAGAGATCTTGATGAATAATTTTTTAGATATTGTATTTGGGTAGTTATTTTGATTAGTTTAGTTGGTTTTTGTTTATTATTTTAGTTTATATAAATTTACTTTTAGTATTATTATTTTTCTGTATCATTTATTTTTATTTATTGTTGATAGAGTGTGAATGTGCTCTCTGAATACTATTATAAATGTCCTTAATTGTGATATCTCTCAATAAATATGTTTATAAAAAAATAAAATGTAACTAAGAGGGCTTTCATTATATTTTTCTTCATTTTGTGTTTTTCTTACTGTTGAATGTTTTTTTGTGTAGTAATAAGGAAGATGAAAAAAAATTATTTTTGTTTTAGTTTATAGACTAATTTTTTTCTTATAAGCATATAGCAGATGGACTTCTGAGATGAACTTTTGTTGTATTAAATATAAGTTTTTAAGGCTGATGGAGGGTTCGCTCCACTTTAGAATTACATAAAAGTTTCTGAAATATTATTCGAAACTGGTGAGAGAGAGATAAAGACCGAAGTCGAGCAGTATTACTTAATACCAATTCTAGAATGTACAGCCCATCGAGAGTGTTATATTTCAAACACTTTCTTTTTTTATTTTAGTCCATCGGCGTCCATAGCTTATATATATATATATATATATATATATATATATATATATATATATATATATATATATATATATATATATATATAAATATATATAAATTTATATGCATAATATAAATTTTATATCTTAACACAATTATTCGAATATCATTAACTCACGGTTAGTAATACAATGAGCAGCTGTCAATAAATATGTTTTTGTTATTATAACAGCTCCGCAAATATGCATTGCAAGCCTCCCTCTTCTTCTCTGTAAAGATGCTATAAATGGTGCATTGATGATACTTGTATCGTGCCCTCCAATTATTCGAGGACCCCAGTCATTTTCGTATCTTTCAGCTTTACAACAGGCGGTATTTGTTAACATGAAAAATAATTGATATACTAAAAGAATCATGACATAATAACTTAAACTAGAAACGCTGACTAACGATTTTTACTAACAACTGTTTACCAAGGTTGCCATCTATAAATACATATGCATAGGTGTTTATTTGGATAAAGACATGAAAGTAACTCCAACGGGTTGAATGTTAAACTAATTGATAATTTTCCGAAACCTGGTCAGACGACTCATTCCATTTTTATCATATCACGTTTTACTTTTAGTTGAGAATGTTTGTTCGTACATTATTCATATATAATTTTTTGATTGTCAAAAATACATTTCATGAATAATACAAACGGGTTTTATATCATATATATTTTATAGGTTTTCAAGACAGTCTGGAATACTTCCGAACCTCAAAGAACGAAACGACAAAATTGCTCAAAAATAAAAAAAGGGAGTATCTTAAAAATAAAATAATTGAAATAGAAACTAATATAATCGAAAATAACGTAAGAGACATGTACAAAGGTACAAACAGATCACGTAAATGTGTAGGGTCCGTAACATCTGGAATTAGGGATGATAATAACAATATTCTGACCGATCCGGTTGACATATTGAATAAATTTAAGGACCACTTTTACAATATTTTAAATACGGGAAATTATGATCTGTGTCCTCCTTCTGAGTACCAGAGTGCTGAACCGTTGATATAAGGACCGAGTAAAGAGGAAGTTGAAGTAGCTATTGGAAAATTAAAATCTTATAAAGCAGCGGGAACCGATAATATTCCTACTGAACTAATTAAGGCATGCGGGGAAGCTGGAGTTTCTAAAATACATCGGTTGGTTAAAAAGATCTGGGTGAATGAGAAATTACCTAAAGAATGGAAAGAATCTATTCTTATTCCGATTCACAAAAAGGGCCCGAGGACGGTTGTAATAACTATCGAGGAATTTCACTCCTTCCGGTATGTTATAAAATATTTACTTTAATCTTAACCAGTCGAATCACGGAATACGCCGAGGAAATTATCGGAGACTACCAATGCGGATTTAGACGGAATCGTTCGACTATTGATCAAATATTTTCTTTACGGCAAATATTAGAGAAACAATTGGAGTACAACGGTATTGTTCACCAGCTGTATATAGATTTTAAAAAGGCTTACGATTCTATTGACCGCCAGAAACTGTATAATATTCTAATCGAGCAGGGGATTCCTAAAAAATTAGTAAATCTAGTCAGGATGTGCTTGACGGAGACACTCAATAAAGTTAGAATCGGTAATAATCTGTCAGAAATATTTGAGGTTCGTTTGGGTTTAAAACAGGGGGATTCCCTTTCGCCTGGCCTGTTCAATTTGGCATTAGAACATGCCATTAGGGAGGTAATGCGTACCGAGAAAGGGTTGGATCTGGGTGGGACAACATCCGTGTTGGGCTATGCGGATGATCTGGTACTGTTAAGCGAAGACCTTGAAACTATAAAACTAAATACGACAACGTTAATGAAAGCCGGTAAAGGACTAGGACTCGAAATAAACGTGGATAAAACAAAATATATGGTTACCTGCAAAAATGGCGATACTACTGGTGATATCGATATAGATGGTAATATGTTTGAACAGGTAGATAAGTTTAGGTATCTAGGTTCTACGATAACTAGAAAAAACGAAATTGAAGAAGAAATTAAGGTTAGACTGAAGGCGGGAAATGCTTGTTATTTTTCTGTGACAAAACTACTTAGTTCGCGCCTCTTGTCTCGAAACTTAAAAATTAGAATCTATAAAACAATTATCTTACCTACAGTTCTTTATGGGTGCGAAACTTGGCCGCTTACATTAAGGGATGAGCAGCGTCTTAAGGTTTTTGAAAATAAAGTATTGCGTAGAATATTCGGACGGAAGAAGGATGAGTTAACTGGGGAGTTCAGACGATTACACAACGCCGAATTGCGTGAACTGTATCCGAGTAATATAATTGAGATAATTTCATCGCGGCGAATCAAATGGGCTTGTAAAGTTGTTGGACTTATTAACGAGAGAATTCCTAAAAGGCTAATATTTGCTGTGCCGAATGGTAAGCGTCCGAGGGGTAGACCGAAGCGAAGGTGGGAAGATTGCATTAAAGCCGATCTGAAGGGACTGGGTTTGGACGGTGAACGATGGAGGGAGGTGTGCAACAAGCGATTGGTGGTGTCGGCATCGAACCTTCGGGTTCGCTAAGCCTTTTTATTATTATTATTATTTATAGGTTTTCATTATTTCAAATTTTAAGTGAAATAATTTTTGCTTTTTTTTTTAAATTAATGCAAATGTTGCATTTGTCGTTAATGAAATGATTAATTCACTTATATCGATGTTTGCGGGGTCAAGAGGTAAGCCTTAAAGATCCTAAAAAATTGTGATATGCTTTGTCGTATCTCCTCCCACCTAAGTCGGATATCCACTATGTTCGCGAAACTGCGACGTTGGTGATCCTGTCGAGTGGCCATGTTCTGCGCAACAAATGTGTAACATGTTCACGAACATATAGAGGGCCAATTGAACATTTGAGTCCGATGGCTGTCAGACTCAAAGAAAACCAGAGGAAGTTCGTTTGCCGCTCTAAGAAGCTCTTTACAAACGGTCCATCGAACATATGTTACTTAATCAAACTGGACTGGATTGTTTCTCTTTCATTCTCCGCACACATTGTACCAGTCAATGGTTCATTATCTTCAACGAAAAAATACTACAATGTTTGGACGAGATTCAAAATAGAGTTCCAGAACCTAAACAGTACTATTGTAAAGATATGAGACAACGTTTAGATGGCAACAACCCATCATAAAAACACAAAGGAATATAATTTGAATAATAATAAATTAAACTATTAGAATAAAGTTAATTTACAAAAATAACTAGAAAACAGTAAACAAACTGTATAAGGTTCTATACATATTCTTTCAAACATCCTATCATATCAGCCTAATAAACTAGGCCGCCGCATCTTTCATTCATAGGAGTCTTGCTCTCGGAGTCCTCTTGCTGCTATTACCTCAAGTATGCCTTCCACCCATCTCTTTTCTGGTCGACCTTCCTTCCTCATTTCCAATGGTACATAATCAAGCATCATTTTAGGCCATCGTCCATGCCCAAACCAACACAGCTTTTTAGGTTCGGTAAACTCAGCTTAGGTAAATAGAGTAAACAGAAAGCCTAAATAAAGCGTGTTCATTATAGGAAAAGTGCCTCAGTGGATGAGGATGAGGTTAAATAGGATGACCTCAAGTGTCAGGCGGATGAACAACCAAATCACTCTGCATGCGAAGGGATGAACCTTATGAAGTCGCAGGATGGAAACTATAAAAGAAGGCATGAGCCTCCGGCCTATTTATTTTCGGTCTGGTTTGTATCATTTCTCGTATATGGTACGGCCCTATATTCGTGCCAATTTTCGTATAGACAAGTGGAGCCATGTCGAAGTTATCGCAACTTCCGTGATTTTCAGAAGAAAAAGAATTTATGTAGCTTTATAGTAAATATTACAACTGTTAAACATTGAGGAAATTTTCATTACAATCGAAAAACAAATATATTTTGCTCAACTAATATCTACTATAAAATTATAAACATAGCTGTATCTCATAAAAACTATTAATAGAAGGCATTTACATTTTTCGATTAAAACGAAAATTCTTATTAGAGGTTTTTTTTTTTTTAACCTATTTTATTAAGAACAAATTCATTTTGCCTCAGTGAATGGCATTGAGTGTTTGGGATGTATGAAACACTACCTGTTAACGCCGCCTAAACTTTATCTTTCTTTTTTTTTTTCATTATTATTTTTGCTTCCTCACTACCGAAAGTAGGGAAGCATTTTATTCGTGCGAGAGATTAAAAAAAATTTTTGTGCTGAGAATCGAAAATTTCCACTCGCGTCTACGTTTCAGACATCAAGGATCAAATTTGGTTCAGTGTCTGTCTGTCTGTAGTCAAATCGATTGGATGGGTATATCGCCTATTACCGTTCATCCAATTTTCATGAATTTTTTAGGGATTATGCGGATTGGTGCCTAGATATTCCCATATCAATTTTATCAAATTCCATCCAGCACTTCCGATTACACACGAGCAAACGTATTTTTTAGATATGCCAAGAAAGGGGTCGTTCGATTTGGCTCTATGTTGAATAAAAGGTAGATATTAGTGAACAAATAACTTAACGTCGATTTTATTGAATTCTGTCCGCTACTTCCTTTTTGCGCTACTAGACTACGCGCGTTACAACAGACTGTACATTTTTATACAAGTACTATAAAATGTACTATAAAAATAGACTATACATTTTTTGTTGATATTGTATATGGTTTTTTTTTATTAAGTTTACGGAAATTCCTAAAAAAAAATCGTTAAAATCGGACAATTAGGAGCAAAGATATTGTCTCCAGTTTATTTTTAGATGTTCTATTGCAAAGGTTAGATATATATCTTTTGTTTTTAAATTTTTAATGTGTTACTGAAGTAACGCTTTTTTTTCAGCACATTACTTTTATTATTAAAACACTTTATTCAGAAATATTACAATTTGTCACAGTTTAAGGACACTTATAATAGAGTTCAGAGATTGCATTCATTCCGTATATACAAAAATATAAATAAATAAAGTAATAACAAAAGAATAAGAAAAAAGAACAAAAGAGTAAAGAAAAAAAAAAAAAAATATATATATATATATATATATATATATATATATATATATGCACATAAGTAAATAAAAATAGAAATAAAAGTAAAACAAACACCTTATATAAAACATACCTATATACATTATTTACAATTTGCCAGGTGATCTCCGAACCAATCCTGTCCCCTCCACATGTGGAGGGAAAAGGGAGGCTTAGGAGATCCCTACGCTTCTCCCTCAGCCACTTCACTGGTATTTTAAACCAGCGGAGGATGAGTAAGAGCGCTACAGCCACAGACACTCATGACTTGAGTGGAGAATCTGGCCATTGCTAGAACTCCAATATATCCATATTTACAAAAGGTC